ATTCTGGTCAATCTGTGCTGTTGGGTTCCCTTGCCAACACTGTCATTTAATTTAAATGGCTCTCTCATCTTCCTGTTGTTTGCCTCTGTGATATATTTATACACAGCAACTGGACCCCTTAACAGCCTTTAATTTGCAAGTAGAACAAGCCAAGCTCTTCATTCTGTCTCCTCATATGATAGTCTCTCCTTTCCCCTGATCATCCCAGAAGTCCATCTTTGTACCTGAACGAGTCTGAGGTAATGTGCTACGAATGACAAAGTACAACAGTCTTGTATAATAGCATAATAAAAGAAACCACAGTAAGCAGAGTAATAATTTCATGCTTGCAAAGATGTGCTGTGCCAAATATCTAAGAGGTTGAGTAAAGGTTTTGAAATCTTCTAAGGGGACCTTTATTAGAAATAATGTGGCCTTTTTTCCCCAAAGTTGTTGATTAAAATTGCAGTATAAAAAGCTTTAGTGTTTTAATCAAAAGCTGGAAAATCAATGAAAACCATTTTTTGGTTGAGACCTTCAGCCAACATAGCAAGCAGTTGATTAGATTTGTGATCATTGAAGAAATGGGTCTGCCATATTGGAAGTTTATTTGACAATTATGACAGAGAAAATTTCTATGAACACTGTATAGTATATAATGAACCTTTCCTGGAGAAACCACAATTGCTTTCACACATTGCCCTCAAGAAATTTCAGTTACAGGGTTTGGGGGGCTGGTTCCCTGGAGTTAGCTCTGGAGAGTGCTCCTCTTGGTGTAAGCCAATAGAATACAAAAGACAATGTGGGTACAACTTATCCCACCACCTCCTAGTATCACAGAAAAAAGGATGTTTGGCCAAATCCAGCATCCCCTGATCTCTTTTGCCATAGCTTCTTGGAAAACTTCAGGACACTCCTGACTGCCAGCTGTTAAGACTGTGACAGCAGTCTTTTTCTGGCTGCTTTACTTCTAGTTCTTACTGAGTTGATAGTTTAATCAAGTTTCTAGGGGAGCTTCAGACAAAAACTTTTTTCCAGTCATGCTGAGCCTGACATCCCAATGCTTGGTGTCAGGATCACTGGAGAGTACGATGCCTCTCTTAATTGTGAAGGAGAGACATTAGGGGAGCATTTGTTTTTCAACAAACCTTCTTTTCTCAACAATAAACAGGCTGATTTCTTTTTTATCTTTTCTCTGCCCTGTAGCATAAGGTAAAAGAGCTTTTGCAATATGCTGTAGGAAAAGGGAAGCACAATTTTAAGTTACTACATGCACATGGAAGATCAATGAAAATTAAAAGCTTTTAAAATATAAGCAATATCTTAAGCAGGAGCAAAGGGGAATACCAACCATGATTACAAGCAGTTAAGTAGACAATTAAGGAAATACATATCAAGGCACTGCATGGTTGGCTGCCTCCTGGAGACTGGGAGCAGGAGGAATGCCCATGGAGACTAGAGGGTTGAGGGCAGTCCCAGACCTGAGCATCAGGCACCTCCTTGGAGATGAGATGAGCCTGGGATGGGCCATGGGCCCAGCTTGGTGGGTCCCATGGGCATGGCATGGCAGGGTTGTGTGGAGCTGGAGGCCAGCCCTGCTGTGGCAATCCTGAGACAGGGGCTGATGGCTCCAGGGGGGCTGACATGTGGTCCTGGGGGCACTGATAATAAATTAAATGGAACTGTAATTCTAACAAACATTTCTGATGATAACAGTCATAGTCAAATAGTTGATTTGATAGTGGAAGCTGTCACACGCTGTCTGCCCCCATGGTGGCCTGTGGGTCATGGGAAATAGGTGCTCCTTCATGCATCCGATGCATGATGATTGACAAAATCAGTTTCACATTTTGTCCTGTCCTAACTACTTGTGCACAGCCAGATTGTCTGCCCAGAAGGACTTGCCACGCTTCCCCAGTGTGGCAGCCTGGACTTGAAGTTGCAAGGGTATGAAAAGCAGCTTGAAGAGCTCTTTGCTTTCCCTGGATGTTCCTTCAAGGATCCTGGGAACTGTGGCTTGTAGATCAATGGGAATATAGGGACTTTCACTGACCCCTTTAGTTAGGGTATCTTGGCAATCCTGCCAAAGAAAACTTCAGCTTTCCTTCTGCTAAGTTTGGTTTCCTGATCGGTGGTGCCTTGGGGCAGAGGGGTCGTGTGTATGGGAATGAGGAAAGATGAGAGGCTTTCTCCAAAACAAATCCAGATAGAATCAATAGCTTCATATTACTGCGCTGAGAGTAACAAAAATTATTCTATTTAGTGCATGTAATAAGACTCTCAACAACTGGCATGGAAAAAACAGCCCGAGGCATCTTGCTGTGCAAAGGGCTGAGATGTTATTGTAGCTCTGTTAGGTTAAGTTGCTAGTGTGGCAAAGTCTGCAACCAAAGCTGCTTCTTTTGTTAGCCTAACAGGTGGTTAGGAGCATTTTGGTGCTGCTGTGTGATGTCTGTGAGTGAAATAACACTTTTATTCAACTCAGCAGCAAAATCCCATGGGCTTTTCAGAACAACAGAATGCTGTATAATGGAGAGCATTTTAATTAATACAGTGATGTTCATCCTGAATGTTTCTATTGCTCACCATATTTACTGTGGCATCACTTAATTAAAATGGAGAAGACATGTACAGGCATAAATATTACCTCGAGATATTTTAAAGTTTAATGAAATAAAAAAAGCTCTTCCACAGAGTGTAAAGCATCTACATTATCCTGCTACTTGGTAAAACTTCAGAGGATTGAAATTACTCAAGTCCTATCTGTGTTCCAGGATGTGTCTTCTTGGGAGGGTTTCAGTGTAGTTGCTACACCTGTAAAATGACTCCAAAATAATACATAGTGGAGAGAAAATACCTTTAAGGGCCTATTTTTAAACCATGTCTCTTGTGAACAAGGTATGTGAAAATCATGAGTAACGCCACTTTTTTGCATTCAGACCATAAGATTTTAATCTCATTTAGACTGATGCAAATTCAGAGTAGCATCTATAAACTCTGAAGAGTAAAGGCAAATGAGGTCAGAATTTGACTCACTATGCCTTGGTCCACCCTTTTTGTGCTGATTGACAGAAAACTCTTCTTTGTTTCTTGTATTTTGTGAATTGCGCTGAAAATTCAGCTTTTCATTGAGAAAACATGATTAATTTTCTTTAATTTGGTCTAGATAGTTGCATATTGTCTTTTAAAGACAATAGTCTTGATCCTTCCTCCATTCAAATTAATGAGAAAACTTTCACTGAATTGTTTTAAAGGACAAACATTTTGTAGGGCAAAGAATTAATTTCTGTAAATCCCATGTACCTCGTACAAATATCTCTACCTTGCTTCTTGTAAATTGTCATGCCAGATGTGTTTCAGAGCTTATGGGTATAACAATGTGATAACCTGATTCTCACACACATAGGAAATGCTTTCTGCTATTCATAAATAAATAAATAGATGGATAATTGCTCAATATTCTCCAAGAACTAGCTGCTCAAGACTGAAGTTCCCTGAATAAATTTTCTAGAAAATTATTTACCAATAAAATAACTTTCCTATAAAGCTAAGTTTTCCTTAATGTGTCTGCACCAATTTAGCTGTGATTACAGCTGGTTAAGACTTCATTACTGTTTCTATCCTTATGTTGTTCATAATCCAATAAATCTTGCACTCTCAATTCAGAGCAAGGAAAAAAAAATATACAAATACCAAGTTGACATTTACTATTTTGTGAGATTTCACATACAGTTTGTTAAAAAATAATGGATGAATGTGTCATACGCTGTTCTGACTGGTATTAACTGACACCGTAGTAGTCCTACTTTATTCCCTAAATGGTAGTGTTCCTTGTATGACTGTATTGTTATTAGGAGAACTATATAAATTATTTAAATAATGGTCAGTTTGTAGAGTTGAACAGAATTGTTACTATTTCCTTTAAAAAGATCACAGCTTCCCAGAACACTATGTTCTCCTTGCCAAGGAAAGACCTCCATGGTCTCACAGCCCTCAGAATCTCTGTGGCACCACCAGTCCTGCCACTGAGCCTGCCTGGACACGTTTCCATGCCAGCTGTCTCTGCAATGCACTTGACCTACAGAACCTTGTTTTATACCATAACCATACTACTGTGTCAAGAAGGTCAGGGCAGAGTTCAGGGGATCCACAATGTGGAATCAAATTCTGTTTGTTTATGCAAACTAATCAAATGCATGAATGAGCTTTAATCAACATGAGAACCTGCCTCCCTCCAGTGTTATGGCTCTGTTCCCCGTATGCCCTGCAACGTCCCCAGCTTTCCAGGAACAAAGCTCCTAGCTCCCTGCATGTCTGCCATACCTCCATGGGATTTGGAGTTGTCACCATGTCCCCAGCCTTCCTTTGCTTTCTGGGCTGTGAAAGCAACTGGCCTGTAGCTCTTGCTGTGCTGCTGGTTTTCCAGCTTGGCCAGCCAAGGGAGTCACACATTCCCCCTGAGCAGGTATAACTCTACAGACTGCCTGCAGGGTCACTGATACATGGGCCAAGCTGGACACATTTCTTCTCTGCTGTCATTTTGCCATGTCATTGCACTGCATTGCACGTATTCTGCAGAACTGCTCTCAATGAGGAGCCCAGCACAGTACGTACCAGCTTTTTGCTTCCCTCATTACGGCTGCTTTTCTTGGGATGGAGGAGGTTACTTGGTGTTGATTGCCAGATTTAAGCAGAAAGCTGAGACTTGTGGTACCAGCTCTTTGGAGGCAATGGGAGTGCAAGGTTTTACCAGCTGGGTTGGTATCATACCTGCAAACACATCGCCTAGTGTATTCTGGATTCTTCAGGTCACTCTGCTCTGTCATGGCTTTGGAAACACACGGATAAAGTCAATGGGAGTTTCTAAATTAAAAAATATAAATATTTTGAAGTCACTTTAAGTCTGGAAGACTGTGTTTTCTAGCTGGCCTGCTGTCTGGCTGGCAGAGCAAGCAGAACATACTGCTTCTCTCTTTGTTCCTGGCATGCAGCCCCTGAGCCTTATCTTTTCTCTAGGGAGCAGCAGGGACCCCAGTCAGCCTCAGGTGGGAGCAGCAGAGCGATGGCACAGGGACACCTCTACCCTCGACTCCCTCCTCCCCCCTCCGGACCTAGATTCTAGCGAAGCCCCTGCCCTGGGAGCATCCCTCCACACAGGTATTACTGCACACCACGAGCTGTTCTGCTGACACTCAGGAGCTTCCAGGTGGAGCCAGGCTCCTGAATAACTAACATTAAGGAGATGCTGTTGCAATAGCATGGCTGGAAAGCAACACTTGAGCTTCCTGCAGATGTCAGCTCCAGGAGGGGACCAAAGTGACTTGCATCATCTCTTGTCTTTCAAAGGCTCATCCAAATTGCTGAGCTGTCAAAGCCCTCGAGGACTGTTGAGTTTTCCCAAGGACATCCTCAATGCACATTATTTTCACTGAAATTTTTTAGCATAATGAGTTAAAAATAAGCATCCTGAGTTAACAACTTAGTGTAACGAGGAACTCTTCAGCAGGCATTGTGGACTTTTATGACCATACTGGGTGTCTCACAATATTCATATTAGATTTTGCCTGTCTTTTAAAAGCTCCATTGCTAGTAGCACATTGATTATACTTTATTTCCAGTTTTAAAATGCCTCACAGTGCTGGAACATATTTTGAAATGCGAACCCAGCTCAAAAACTGTAAAGCAAACACTAACTGATTTTATAAAAAATTCACAACTTTAAGCCCAATATTTTAAAATGTCTGACTCATTTGGAAAGCTCAGCATTCTCTGTATTAATTATGGCTCCAGAAGATCTATCTCAACAGTCAGAGAGCAACTCCATTTGTAGTCAAGGATTGCAAACACAGTCTTCCTGGAACTGAAAGTTGTACATTGTGCAATTTTTATGGCTTGTATGGCTTTTCTATTTTTAGTTGGTTGAAACCTGCAATACATCATATAATCCTCCTTAAATTGTCATTCATAATGCTAATTGCCATTAACTTGGCATAAATTACTCCTTAAATAGTTACTCTTTCACCTAACAATATTACATAGACAAAACTGTATTTTTCTCTGATATAAAGTTGACGTCAGTACAAACTACTGATGAAGTTTTTCTACTTATCAACTTTTAAAAAAATATTTTAAATCTCCACAGTAATTTCTTTTTTTCTTTTAAAAATATGCATGTGTTATGAACTCCAATAACTGTTCCATTACTGCAGCAAATCATTTATTTAATATTTGCCTTTATAGATATTTGGAAAATTTCTCTGAGGTTTGAGAAAGTCTAATAAAATTGTACTTTTCAGCTTTTTTGAAGATAGAATGAGAAGAACAATTCTGGGTTTTTTTCTCTCTAGAAATGCATCTTCAAGGTATAAGAGATCAGTCAGTAACAAGTATTTGCATAGAACTGTCCAGCCTTGTTCTTGCTTACTTAAATAGAGATAATGTCATGTATTTGGCTACCTGCAGAAATGGTTTGCACAACATTGTGTCATTCCCTGGCTGAGCAGAGGGCAGGGGACCTAAGCCTACTTCTGACACACCAGTTCATGACTTTTGTACTATAATGATAAGTGTTGTTGACAACATTCTTATTTTCTAGGCTTTCCTATCCCTTTAATTATAATCCCTTGTCTTTGACACATATGCTTATTTCAACAAGTCCAACGTTTGTAGATTCCTTGGTGTTTGTTGCTTCCACAGGGTGAATTCTAGTGCCTGAAAGTCCAGTGCTACAGCCAAGCCATCCTACAACAAGAGCATGTGCTACCAAAGATTTTTCCATTCAAGATTTTGGTTTTTCTTGATGGCAAAAATTAATGATAGCATCAGTAAGTAAAATTAGAATAAAGATTTTTTTTTTTTTTTGCAAACATGGCAGCTATCTTAGGTCGAGTATGTGGCATCCCCCCAGCTGTAGAGAGTTTCTCTAAATATGGCCATTTCATAGCAGGGTGGTTTTGCAGTCCTAGAATGGACTCACAAACTGTTGACAGACTTTTTTTTTTTTTTTAATTTATGTAGACTTTTTTGGCATGCAGTCAATGATGTTGTGTGGGATGAATTGAAAAGATTTAGTAGAATACCGGATTTTGGAATTTACTTTGATTAAACAAGTTACACAACTTATTGTGGAGGCATAGGATGTATATATTGTTCAAATTACATTCTTAATTAATAAAAATAAGGAAATATTTATTCAACATGAGGACTTTGTTCTAATTTTTCTGAAAGCCTTGGGAAGTATTTTCAGTATGTATACAGTGGAGGCTCAGCCATTTAGTTTGGGCTTGTTTTTTCAGGACAGCTGTGCTTACAAATTGGCTACCGGGTGCTCTGGAGAGCTACCCTTTAACTTTCAGCTGGGTAGGTCTGAAAAAAACTCTTTTACCTCTGAAATTCCTGCAGTCTGCACGTGGACAAATGCAGATAAGGAAAATCTCTAATCTGTGTGCTGTGCAGTGGCTACTAAGAAAGCAGTGGTACTGAAAGCTCACTTAAACACTTTCACTAGGGATAGAAACCTGAGTGAGGTTTATTCTCTCTAGGGTTGAAATGAACACGTGAGAATACTCTCTGTTACATCTTATTTCTTAAGATAACTAAGTGTATATATATATATGTAACGAGAGGTGAATTTGCTTCCTCATAAGAGGAAAACTGGCTAGTCTTCCTTTTCCCAAACCACAACTTGGTCCAGGTTGGTGCCAGTGGAGCAAAGATGTGACTGGGCTGCCAGCAGCAACCGCACCAGGTCCTTGCCAAGGCCTGAGTCCACCACACGTGCACAGGAGAAGCAGCCCAAAGTAATTTCTCAGTCACCCAAACTTCCTTGAAGGCAGATGAAAAATATTTAAGGAAATAAATAAGGAATACTGAGACATTACATAACTGCTGGGTCAGACTGTTTTTAACTAAATAAAGAAAAACAGTAATGTCTTTATTTATACGCTGCTTTCTTACCTGCTTTCTTAACTGATTTACCAATCATATACAGTCTGTATCTTTTGAATTTGTATTCCAAGACACGATGATGCCTTAATATTTAGAGACATCCACCAATTCCCTTCAGCAACACTGACATCCATATCGCTTTTCTGTCATACACCTCCACATACAAAATAGAAACTTGAAAATTTTATGATTTTTTTTTCAGATTTACCTTAATTATTAAAAATTATTTTCTAGTTTCACTTGTTCCAACTAAAAGAAAGCTAACGCAGATCCATTTCTTAGTGTTGTTTCTTAAATTACTTGTTTTGTACAATTATGACCAGATTCCCCCCCCTCTTCCTTCCAAGAAAGAGAGTTTGGGATGAGGAGTTGTGACTCGAGAGTCAAATGAGCTCATTTCCCATTTAGGGAGCTCAGTGAAGGTGAGGTTTTGACTCTTCAGTACTTTTTAGAAATACTGGGTTCTCTGCTCCTCTCAGCCAGAAGTGCGCCTGCAAGCAGAGGTCTGTGTACTGATGCTTCGTAGAAAATCCATCCCAAGCCATTTGAGTTTGTGACCTCATTAACACAAAGTTGGCAGGGTGAGTTATGGCAGGGACTGTGAGGGGTGGACAAAGCCCCACAGCCTCTGTCATGTCTTAACATTTGCCATCAAGTGTTTCACTGTGGCAGATGCTGATAACGAGGTGCTAAATACCTGCTATTGTCTCCCATTTCTGGATGCATTTCTGGATCCATTTCTGGATCCAGGCCAGTTTATCAGTCAGCTCATGAAAGGCACTGATGTGCCTAAATTAAGTGCACAGCCTCTCTAGAAAGGGCAGCGGTGGCTCAGAGGGGCAAAACTGAGACCTCCCAGCACATCCCAGAGTCAGAATGCAGTGGTGTCCTCTCACAGGGAGGCTGGAGCAACACCACCCTCTACCCAGCACCTTTTTCTATGGAAAGAAAATCAGGGGATGCTTTCCCTGATAGACAGGAGCCATGGTTGGCTTTAGCAGTGGTCACTGGAGCTGCATAACTGAGGATGAGGACAGGCCTGAAGCCTTAACATAGCCTCAGAGAGCTCAGGCTCCATTTCAAAGACACTGCAGATTATAGGTGAAACCTAAACTCCTATCTTAGTAACACAAGTGAAATACTTAAAGCTGAACAGTGTGAACTTATGCCAGTGCAGATGATTTTAATTTCATGTAGGCTTGTAAAACACCCACTAGACTTGTAGGAGCTCTTTTAGTATCTTTCCATGGCTCTGGACAAAAATTACTTTCTAAGAAAAGCAGCTAAGGAAGTTTTACTCTATCCTAGTGGAAAACAGAGAAACTTCAACCCTTTCTTTAAAGTTAAGAAAGGTAGAGTGTTTGGCTAGTTCCAACAACACAAACACAATTCACTTAGAATTTATCCCTCTTACATTGGATTTTAAGAAGTCACAGACATTAAAGAAACTTGAATCTGGCAGCAGGTAATTTTAATAATGTTAATGGAAGACCAAGCCCATGCAGAGATATTTATTTGCTTCTTCCTTCTCTCTTCCTTCCCTCCTCAAAGCAACTATGCCGTATTTTCAGCTTAGCCTGAATTTTTGCTCTGAATTAAAAAGCCAGGTGAAGATTTGAGCAGATTAACAATGACAGGTTGTTCAAAAAAAGATCAAAACCAGCTCAACCTGTACCTGCAGAATAACTCTTTAACTTCATTCTTTTCAAGTGAAAAAATTACTGTCCAGGAATTTTGAAACCATGACATTAGAAGAGGCACGTAAATATGGTTTGTATAAATGAAAGCTATTAAAGTGGCTGAGGCCATTTTCAATGCCCAGGTGAGGTATCTGCATGTTTTTGTACTGCTCCCTGTCAGCATGAAGGCATTGGTATTACTTAAATCAGCTAGGCTGACATTTATTTCTTTACTTTCTTTGCCACAAGTTCTGAAGTCAGTGGAAAACCTGCAGGATTATTGGGAAATAATGACAGTCACTGGACTGGCACTGCCAGAAATGAAGTAAGACTCTCCTTTAACCTCTCTGCAAATAGTAATGACAAGTGAAGGCCAAAGCTTTGAAAAATGCAAAGACCACTCTGGAACTTCACAGTGCTAGTCTTCTTATCAGTGACATGAAGCACAAGAGCTCAAAGTTTGTTCCACCCAGCCCAGCAAAAGTCAGGATAAGACTGGTGTGAAGTAGGGATGCTGTGCAACCTCTCTGC